CACACACACACACACACACACACACACACACACACACACACACGCACACACACGCACGCACGCACACACACACACACACACACCGCCAACGCCCTGCCCCTTCCCCCGCAGTACCCCTCCTGCACCGACATCCAGAACCGCTGCGTGTCAATGCTGGCAGACCTCTTCAACTCACCCGCGCGCGGCACGCGCGCCACAGGCACCGCCAGCATTGGTGAGGCCCCCTGGGGGTGCTGCAGGCAGCCGCCTGCCCTGCAGCGGAACAACGCGTGCGGCGCACTCATTGCAAGTGTACCCGCCCTTTGGCAGTGCGCCGGCCCTGCTTGTGTCCAGGCCAGGCGCATGCCTTGCCCCTGCAGTCAGCTCGCTAACCTCCAGCCTTTTGATGGCCCCAGAAATCAATCCACCTTTATGCAACGCACCGATCCCACCTGAAACTTGACACATCCCAACATCCGAACCCCTCCACTCCCTGACCAAAACAACCTCATCCACCTCACCCCCCCCCCCCCAGGCAGCAGCGAGGCCATCATGCTGGCGGGCCTGGCTTTCAAGAAGAGGTGGATGGCCAAGCGCAAGGCCGCGGGGCTGCCCTATGACAAGCCAAACCTCATCATGAGCTCCACAACACAGGTAGCAGGCGGCAGTCTGGCGGTTTCATAGGGAGAGCGAGGGGCAGGCAGGGCACAGGGGCGCCAGGGGAAGAGCTTCTCGAACAGTGCAGCGTTGCTGCCTCTTTGGATCCTCTAAGCAATCAAGTCAATTTACTCCTCATCAGCGACCACGCACGGCCGCACTGGCGGCTTTGGGGCGAGATCAGCGGTGTCTGTCCCAGCGCAGTGGGCCGTGCGGTGTTGCATACATAGCAAGGGGCCGCTGAAGCCCCTACCACCCCAACCCACGCCCCCCCCCAAAGGTGTGTTGGCACAAGTTCACCCGCTACTGGGACGTAGAGGAGAGGTGAGACGGCACACACACGCCAATCACAGCCGGCGGTCATACCCCTGACACGACACGCCATCCCCCCCTCTGCCGCCACCGTTGATGCGCTGCCGAGCACCGTCCGTCCGCCGCCTGTGTCGCACTGAGTGGGTTCAGATGGACCCTGGCCCTCACGCCCGACCATGTCTGCTGCCCCGCGTTGTGTCGCATCCGTCCGTCAGCAGAACGGCAGGCAGGGGTCATATCTTACCTGGTCAGATCCGCTCCGCGCCTCTTGAAGTTCCGCCGCCATGCGCCATCACTGCCAGGCTTGTCCCAGTGGAGGAGGGGCGCTACGGCATCACCGCTGACCTGGCAAAGGAGCTGATCGACGACGTGAGTGAGGGGGAGTGTGGTTATTAGGATCAGCATGAAAGGTATGGCTGGATCACGGCTGGAACCAGGATTGTCGCCACGGGGCTGGTCGACGACAAGAGGGGCGGCAAAATGCCAAGGTGGTGCATTGCGCCGCCGGTGGTTTTGCAAAAACCATGGGTGCCAAGCGCTCGGGCATGTGCCACAGAGTTGTGCCAGGCGCCTTCCGGCGCCGGTTGGTCCGCGCGCCAGGGGCGGGCGGACGGGGGCCGGGGTGCCACCTGCAGGGGCAGGGACGACGGAATGCACTGTGTGGGCTGCGCCCATGAAGCGAGCCGCACGCACTAAGCTTTGCCGTCTGGACTTGGTCAATGCAGGCTCCCTTATCTCATCGTTTATCCTTCCCTCATCTTTGTCCTTCGTTCATGCTGTATTCATTCAACCTGCACCACCTCCTTCCCGTGCCCACCTCAGTGCACCATCGGCGTGGTGGGGATCCTGGTGAGCACGTGCTTAGCCCAAGGCGACCGCCGGCACAGCAATCCCATCAGTTTTTTCACAGCGGGCCCACTAGAAACCGCCCGCCCAGGCTGAGCTGTGCCACGGGCCCGGCAGCAGCGGCGGCTGCGGCTCGGGCGGGCCCGCGGCTGTCGCCCGTGAAACCGTTCGCCGCGCCTGGCGCTCGGCTGCACTCTTCAGCGCAGTGTTTGCGCCCTTTGAGGGGAGTGTCTGCCTCTCACATCACCCATCACGTTTATACCAGCCTGCACATGGGGCTGATTGTTTGCTCAACAATTGCATTGAATATATCATCGTTCCCAGGGCAGCACCTACAATGGGGAGTTTGAGGACATCGCGGCGCTGGACGCCATGGTCGGTGAGAAGCCGTGGGGAAGCCCGGGAGAAGCTGGGGAGTTGTGCGGAGAGAAGCTGGGGGGAAGCCGGGGAGCGGCGGGCAGGGGACCTGGAGAGCCTCAAGGGTGAAGCTGGGGAGAAGCTGGAGAGAAACTTGGGAGAAGCTTGGAAAATCTAAGGCCTTGCAATGGCTGGCAAAGTGGAGGGGGCCAGGTTGCAAGTAGCAACAGCGGCATGTGCACCAGTGGCGTTGGCGCAGTTTGTGGCAAGCCTGGCTTTGACCATCAAAGAACGACAGACACAGCTGATGAGCGGGGCGCCCGTCCCCCCCCCCCAAAAAAACTGTTAGGTCCAACGCCAGGTGCCTTGGCCCCGACTTGCCTCGTCACCGTCGCACATCGGAAACACCCCCACGCAAGCACCCCTGCAAGCCCCACCAGCCGCCTTCCCAACTTCCCAATCCCTCGTTTCGGGCGGCCCTTGCCAACGGGAACCAAACGCGCTCCCCTCAAACCGCCCCACCCACCAACCCCCCAGAGGAGGTGCGTCTCGAGCGCGGGCTGGAGGTGCCGATCCACGTGGACGCGGCCAGCGGCGGCTTCATCGCGCCCTTCCTCTACCCGGACCTGGCCTGGGACTTCCGACTCAAAAACGTAAAGTCCATCAACGTGTCGGGA